CCCAACTCCATCAGGGCCAGATTCGGAACAGGTAGGACCAGCTTCGCTATACACACTAAACACCAAAGTCACAAGAGATGGGGAGGGGAGGAGAACGAGATTGCTAGCAGCGTATTAAAATTTCAGAAACATATTTAAAGTGTGCTAGCTAATTAGAAATTGATTCTAATTTCAGCCATCTTCAGCTAAGTCACAGTAGAAACTTAATCGTATGTGATACATTTTTGGAAAGACGCGTAGCGCGAGGATCAAAAAACTTATTCCCCAGCAAGAACTGATGGTTTGAAAGTCTCAATGAACCAAAAAGTGTGTATTTTGGTCATTTGCTTTGACCATAAAAGTCTTGAACTACATTTTGGTGAAATGTGATTCAGACCAAACGAAAAACGCCTGTCATGGCAGTGACTCACCCGAATCAGCCCGGAGGGAGCTGGAGTTCTTCTTCCCTAGAGATACCAGTCGTAGCAGAGCTCCCGCGAACACAGCCAGACTGAGTAACAGCACCCTGGCCGTTGTGAAGCCACAGGCTGTGAAGGATGACCAGCTCGCTCAAATTGTGAAAGACATTGATGCAGCTGGATTCAATATCCTCGCCTTAAAGAGTGTAAGCCGCTACAGCTGTCCGTTTTTGTAGTTCGGTTTTTTAAGCAGCAAGTAAATTTTGAAGTTTTTTAAGCAGCAAGTAAATCTTTGAGAAAGCTTAATTAGAAGCATTCAATTTACATGAAAAATCAGATTTTTTCTTGTTTTTTTTGCAACTGTGATTGATCGGATGAATAATATTCGAATGTTCTTGCATCAGTTGACTCGTTGGTCTTGCCATGATTGTGCTGTTTGTTGCTTAAGTATTGTGTGGTTGTTTAAATTATTGCATTTATGCTGCAGTTCAACCTGGAGAAGAGTGACTGTGAGGAGTTCCTGGAAGTGTACAAGGGAGTGGTGAATGAGTACGGGGACATGGTGTGTGAGATGAGCAGTGGGACATGCGTGGCTCTGGAGATAGACGCTCAGGGCGATCCCGCCAAGTTCAGGGCATTCGTTGGACCAGCAGATCCAGTTAGTCCCACTCTCGCTCTCAATTCAGCCAATCAATTGCAGCCCACTTAATTCCACTAGCTAAAATCAGACTATTTTTTTATCTGAAAACGGCGCTGCCCTGGTCGAATAACAGATCAGATTTATAAGTAAACTAGCAACTCTTTTATTACTCAAGCAATAGGTAGTGTTATGTTACGATTTCACTTGCGATAAGCAAGGGTAATGCAATCGGGTACTAGACTTTTTCTCCCGTAAACAACTTTTTTCACAGAATGGTCATTTTAGTAGGAATGGTAAATATCACTTCTGACATGCTGAAGTTCTAGAAATTACTACCATCATTTAAGTAGTAATTAGGTAAAGACTGTTTCAGGTTGTAATTAATTTAAAAAAAATTGTCCATTTTTTTCGGGTTGTGGTTTTCGTCCTAGTGTCTGTCGGTTTATTTTCCGTTTTTTTAAACGCGAATTTTTTTATCCTGTAGTGTTTTTATTGGCTTACTATTTAAAGCATGGGTTTTTTTTCCAATTTAAACTTTTTTTTTTCACTATAAGTGAAAGTTCAATTATTTGTAAATGTACCATGACTGATTTTGCAATTTTTTTAAAAATATTAAAGCAGATTGTTGTTTCGGCCTAGTCAACTTATATTGCGTAATTTGGAGGGGAAAATATATTTGTATAGGTTTATGTGCTGCAGTATGGATGGGTCGTAAAAACTTTTAAAACTTCGTGAAATTTTTCTATGACAACAGTTTTGTGTTCGACCCAACAATGCTCAACAGTTTCGACCGAAAATTTGTTGCCTTTTTATCGCTCGGTGAATCATTTCCAATTATTTTTAAAGCTGTTTATGAACGTCATCCGATACAATCATGAAGTTTTTGTGGCTGTAGTTTTTCCAATTTTTTCAAGTTATTTTTTCAAGTAATTTCAACTCAATTTTTCAGCATTTTTTACTGTCCTTTTCACTAATATTGTACCGCAATGTGTAGTGCAATTCGAAGTTTTTCAAGCTAGTTTAATACTGATTGTTGTGTTCTGCAATTGATTTTCATCAAAATGAGTTTCAGTTTGTAACAAACATTTAAACATTTCGGGTATTGTTCTTTTGGCATTTTGTCAGTTTTTACGGTGGCTTTGTGTATCGCGAGTGGTGCGAAGCTCAGCTTCGCCTCTGTGTAAATTTTTCTATCTACCTCGAATAAGTTGTTGCTCAGAAAGTTAGCATTTTTACTTCATTAACTGCATTGGCACTTAAACCTTTTCGCTTTGCTTTTAATTTGCATATGTATTATCCACTTTATTTGTGGCTACTGTTTGAAGACAGCTTGTAGCAATTTGTTTGATGTCCTGTTTCTGAGATGCTACAAGTCGAAATATTCTATTATGTTGTTATAATAGGAAATCGCCAGGCACTTGAGACCGCAGACCCTCAGGGCGAAGTATGGGAAGAGCAAGGTGCAAAATGCAGTCCACGTCACAGATCTTGTGGACGACGCCCCTCTAGAGGTAAACTTAGTTGATGCAATGCTGCCCTAAATTGTTGGTCTACAAAAGCTGCTTTTCTCTTTGTTGCGTTTCTACAGTAGCAATCTTATTTTTATCTTATTCAGTCACGCCTTTTTGTCGACCTTTTTTTTAGGTCAACCAAATTGTTTTTTCGAGCTCTCCCAAAGCACTGTTTTATTCCTATTTTGGCCAAATTTCCTGCGGCGCAGGCAAATTTTTGAAAAAACAGGTCAAAAAAGCCGTTTTGGGCACTTTTTGGAAAATTTTGACCGAAAAATTGCGTTTATTCGGCGCGCTCTCCCCACTCAAAATTAGTATATATTGGCCCCTTTAGAAAAATTTTAAGGTTGGTCGGCCAAAATTGGATTTCTTAAAAGTACCAAAAAGGGTGCGTCCGCCCCCCACCCCACCCCCTCCCTAAATCGCCCCTGATCCAGCATACAGAAACCATTTCTAGTCACTTAAGAAAATCTTAGATCTGCCTCTGAAGAAATGCTTTGAATGCATTAATTTTTATGCAATTTGAAACGTTAGTTCTGAGTTCACTTAGAGCTATATGATATATCTTTCAACATGAATAATTATCCCCAGAATGTAAAACACAAATTTTTCGTTAATTTAGGAATGTTTCTGAAAACCCTGTATCCACTAGGAAACTACCAACTTATCTGATGTGTGGCAAATTGAATTAAACCGCTCTTGTGCCTCTAAAGAAAAGCTGCATACATGTTCTTGCTGTCATATTTAGGTCGAATATTTCTTCCGCATTTTGTCTCAATGAGAGACAGACAGAGATAATGAGAGAGACGAAGTTAATCAATCAACAACTGCATATTTGGTGAAGGAACGAAAACAGAACTGAAAACTTAAACTGTACGGAAATTATAATGAAAATGAATTGATGAATCTTTAATTGTGTAGATATGTGGATATGTATGTAGTACCAACTTACCAATCGGCACTTTTTCATCACCTCCCATGAGATGGAGAATGTTCATTTTAACAGTACTACATCTAGCGAATGTAGTGTTGCATTACCCATCAACTCTAATCCACGGCTTTTCGGTGGCACTTTTGCCACAAAGCAGTCTCAATTTTGAGCATCTGATCTATCAGCTGAATTAATGGCTAGCGTTTGCAGATTTTCTTGTGAAATAGGCACATTCGCGGAGGCTTCAAGGCTTACTTTGCGTAGTGCAGCTTTCCCTCTTGTGTACTGAACTCCTACTGCCTGTCATGCTATTATATTTCGTACGGATGAGTTGGAAATTAGATAGCATGGTGACTTCTCATGTCGGAATTGATCTAGATGTTAAAATACGGGCTGACATGAGATTTTTGCCTTTTTAAAAGACTAGTGCTCTGAACGAAAACATCATTATAATTTGGGGTTTAGTGGATGGATTGTGATTGGTTAGTAAAAAAATCTCAGTCACAATTAATATCCAAGTTCGAAGAAGGGGCGGATTTAGGGGGAGGGACGCCCCTCTATCTCAGGGATTCGACCCCCTGCCGACCCAAAGGGTCCCCCCTTTGTACTATTATCCATTTTTGGTGACGGACCCTTAAATTTTTTTAAAGGCGCCTTTGGTGCCAATATATACTTATTTTGAGGGGGTAGCGCGCGCTAAAATTAAAGTATTGTGGTAAAAATTTTCCAAATAATGCCTAAAAACGCTTTTTTTGACCTGTTTTTTAAATATTTTGCCTGCGGCGAAGAAATTTTGGCCAAAACAGGGTCTTTTAGGGCGTTGGGAGAGCTCACAAAATGTTTTTAAAATACGCTTCCTCCCTCGAGAAAATCCTAGATCCGCCCCTGGTTCGAAGAATCAAAAATTGAAGAAAGAGGTCTCACCCGGCGGCATCACTCCCATTTCGAAGCACAGATACAGCAATGATTTAAAATTATCCGTATAAAAAGATAGAATAGCGTTTTATCTAATTGGGTTGAGATAGACAAAAAATGATAAGAACTAAAGTTGATTAGAATTGCATCGGAATTATTTTAGTACAATGTATTAACCCAAATTTTTGAAAAACATTCTGCTAAATTTTCCAAAAAAAATTGTTCATTTTGGATTTATTTAGTCATCAAAACGTACGTGAAACTCATGATTTAATTGCTGCGCAAACTATCAAAGTGAGCCTCAAGTACAGCCCAACAAAGTTTGAGAAGGCTATAGCCTCCAAAAATCTGCGTCAATGAATATAATTTTGTTTGCTAGCCAAAACATGGTAATTTTATTTTATAAAATACCAATCCTTTGCTTGAAAGCAAATTTTGGACGTTCTGCGCAATTTTCTGGAGGTTCTATCCTTCTGAAACTTTGTTAGGCTGTATGAGAGGATCCCTTTGATATACTTTGCGCATCAATTGACCTACAAGATTTGGCGTAAGTTTTATTGACTAAAAGACGCCAAAATGATCCATTTTTGGGATAAAATGTTGGCCCCAAAACTCGCACTTTAATTTTTAAAACAGGGTTGGGTTTAAAACAAGTTTTTTAAATAAAACGTTTTAAAACGTATAAAATTGAGATTTTAACTTCTTTGTCATAATTATACCACACATTCTTGGCTGACAAAAAACATGGAACCGATTTGAAACTTCAAATTTGAAAAACTTAAATAGGCAAAACTTAGGCCATGGTAAAACATAAAAGTGATACGTCACAGGTTAACGGCACGCAAGCAAAATGCAAGCTTAGCTACTTTTTCAGAAAATAAGCGGTTTCTCAAGTCAGAATGTACGAAGCCCATAGATGAGAAGACTCTCTCAATGCCAGCTGAGCTTTCTAATATTCGGCGCGCTCTCCCCACTCAAAATTAGTATATATTGGCCCCTTTAGAAAAATTTTAAGGTTGGTCGGCCAAAATTGGATTTCTTAAAAGTACCAAAAAGGGTGCGTCCGCCCCCCACCCCACCCCCTCCCTAAATCGCCCCTGATCCAGCATACAGAAACCATTTCTAGTCACTTAAGAAAATCTTAGATCTGCCTCTGAAGAAATGCTTTGAATGCATTAATTTTTATGCAATTTGAAACGTTAGTTCTGAGTTCACTTAGAGCTATATGATATATCTTTCAACATGAATAATTATCCCCAGAATGTAAAACACAAATTTTTCGTTAATTTAGGAATGTTTCTGAAAACCATGTATCCACTAGGAAACTACCAACTTATCTGATGTGTTGCAAATTGAATTAAACCGCTCTTGTGCCTCTAAAGAAAAGCTGCATACATGTTCTTGCTGTCATATTTAGGTCGAATATTTCTTCCGCATTTTGTCTCAATGAGAGACAGACAGAGATAATGAGAGAGACGAAGTTAATCAATCAACAACTGCATATTTGGTGAAGGAACGAAAACAGAACTGAAAACTTAAACTGTACGGAAATTATAATGAAAATGAATTGATGAATCTTTAATTGTGTAGATATGTGGATATGTATGTAGTACCAACTTACCAATCGGCACTTTTTCATCACCTCCCATGAGATGGAGAATGTTCATTTTAACAGTACTACATCTAGCGAATGTAGTGTTGCATTACCCATCAACTCTAATCCACGGCTTTTCGGTGGCACTTTTGCCACAAAGCAGTCTCAATTTTGAGCATCTGATCTATCAGCTGAATTAATGGCTAGCGTTTGCAGATTTTCTTGTGAAATAGGCACATTCGCGGAGGCTTCAAGGCTTACTTTGCGTAGTGCAGCTTTCCCTCTTGTGTACTGAACTCCTACTGCCTGTCATGCTATTATATTTCGTACGGATGAGTTGGAAATTAGATAGCATGGTGACTTCTCATGTCGGAATTGATCTAGATGTTAAAATACGGGCTGACATGAGATTTTTGCCTTTTTAAAAGACTAGTGCTCTGAACGAAAACATCATTATAATTTGGGGTTTAGTGGATGGATTGTGATTGGTTAGTAAAAAAATCTCAGTCACAATTAATATCCAAGTTCGAAGAAGGGGCGGATTTAGGGGGAGGGACGCCCCTCTATCTCAGGGATTCGACCCCCTGCCGACCCAAAGGGTCCCCCCTTTGTACTATTATCCATTTTTGGTGACGGACCCTTAAATTTTTTTAAAGGCGCCTTTGGTGCCAATATATACTTATTTTGAGGGGGTAGCGCGCGCTAAAATTAAAGTATTGTGGTAAAAATTTTCCAAATAATGCCTAAAAACGCTTTTTTTGACCTGTTTTTTAAATATTTTGCCTGCGGCGAAGAAATTTTGGCCAAAACAGGGTCTTTTAGGGCGTTGGGAGAGCTCACAAAATGTTTTTAAAATACGCTTCCTCCCTCGAGAAAATCCTAGATCCGCCCCTGGTTCGAAGAATCAAAAATTGAAGAAAGAGGTCTCACCCGGCGGCATCACTCCCATTTCGAAGCACAGATACAGCAATGATTTAAAATTATCCGTATAAAAAGATAGAATAGCGTTTTATCTAATTGGGTTGAGATAGACAAAAAATGATAAGAACTAAAGTTGATTAGAATTGCATCGGAATTATTTTAGTACAATGTATTAACCCAAATTTTTGAAAAACATTCTGCTAAATTTTCCAAAAAAAATTGTTCATTTTGGATTTATTTAGTCATCAAAACGTACGTGAAACTCATGATTTAATTGCTGCGCAAACTATCAAAGTGAGCCTCAAGTACAGCCCAACAAAGTTTGAGAAGGCTATAGCCTCCAAAAATCTGCGTCAATGAATATAATTTTGTTTGCTAGCCAAAACATGGTAATTTTATTTTATAAAATACCAATCCTTTGCTTGAAAGCAAATTTTGGACGTTCTGCGCAATTTTCTGGAGGTTCTATCCTTCTGAAACTTTGTTAGGCTGTATGAGAGGATCCCTTTGATATACTTTGCGCATCAATTGACCTACAAGATTTGGCGTAAGTTTTATTGACTAAAAGACGCCAAAATGATCCATTTTTGGGATAAAATGTTGGCCCCAAAACTCGCACTTTAATTTTTAAAACAGGGTTGGGTTTAAAACAAGTTTTTTAAATAAAACGTTTTAAAACGTATAAAATTGAGATTTTAACTTCTTTGTCATAATTATACCACACATTCTTGGCTGACAAAAAACATGGAACCGATTTGAAACTTCAAATTTGAAAAACTTAAATAGGCAAAACTTAGGCCATGGTAAAACATAAAAGTGATACGTCACAGGTTAACGGCACGCAAGCAAAATGCAAGCTTAGCTACTTTTTCAGAAAATAAGCGGTTTCTCAAGTCAGAATGTACGAAGCCCATAGATGAGAAGACTCTCTCAATGCCAGCTGAGCTTGGCACGAGAGCAGCTGCGATCTCACACAGATCTGCCAGGTTGTCGGGATATGCACCAAATTGTTTTTGAGCCCGAATAAAATTGTGGAGCTTGCATCCTGGAGCGCTTTCATATGCTGCTTTGACGGCATCTTTACTCTCGCCACCAACGTAGTCCGTGAATCCTGCTAGGTGTTCTGGGGCCTCATCGGCTATCCACTTTCTGGCGGTTCGCCACTCCATAGGTGTCAGATTTGCGCCTCGGTACTTTGGGTGAAGTATGCTAGCCACAAACCAAACCGCCGGAACAGAGCAATTGTAACGAGTTTTTGCTTTTTCTAGCCATTCCCGACCTTCAGCGCCAAGATCCCGGAACGATTTGAGGACACCTTTCCATGCTTCCAGTCCGTCAGCAACGCTGCTGTTGTTGCTTTGCATGACATTAGATGCTTCGCAAATGGGTTTTAGGCATTTTATGGCATCTTCTACATTCTGGTAGAGAACGAGATCTTTCACCAGTTGTACAACGGTGGAGCAGGCGGCCGTATTGAAATGCACAGGATTTCTGTCGAGCACTGCTTTCACCTTTGGCCGTTTCTGATAACAACAAACATCAAAATTTCATTGATAATTTTGTAAATGTTAACAAAAAATATCATATAAGAACTCACTTC